TGTGGAGAGAACACAGGTTTCCTAACTCTTGATGTTTCACCAGATTAAAAAAAATACAGGGTTAGAAGCAGCATGATAACAGAGACCATATTCTTGCACTCATAGCATCTTCCTAGAGTGCTTTTCCTCTCTGAGGGTGTCGGTAGATACAATTTCTATAGTTATTCAGGATTTGTTCCCTGCTGAGCCTGGGTTTTGGTAATTTGGAAAACACAGCATTTTCAGTGAGCAGCATACTTTCCATATTGATGGTTTTAACTTTGTTTCTTTTTAAAATGCGTTACAGGAGGTCATCTTTTTAACCTTGGTTTTGTCTTTTTTTAACTTTGGTAAAAATAAGTTTTGTGATGTAGCAAGCTTGAGCTCCTAGGCTTATTTATTTCAAAGGAGTTAGTTTAGAGTAGAATGCACACTGTCTTGGGTATAGAAAATACTTAATCTATTGTATTTTTATACTTGGATGTTATTTATACTTGTTTTATTTTTATACTTGTATGTTATTTGGTTTGTGGCCTTATTTATAGCTTATGTTTGATGAGAAGAGTACATGTGTGGGGGGAGGCAGAATAAAGAGTTAGTTTAGAGTAGAATGCACATTGTCTTGGGTATAGAAAATACTTAATCTATTGTAAAGCTCTATTTGTATTTTTCTTTTAATGTTTATTACACACATGGCAATGGTAATTGTGTCTGGATCCATGTAAATTTGGAAGCATACAGTCTAACAAGACCACACATTTCTGATCAGTCATCAAAATTTTAATCTTTAACAAAATTGTAGTCATTTTCTTACTGATACTCAAGTGCTTTAGTGTTTTAGAAATACACAGGCCAATATAGCAGTCACTTTCTATACGTGACTATTTAAATTACAATTAATTAAGTTTAAATAGCACTTAAAATCAGTTCCTTAGTTACATGAACTACATTTGAAATGCTTAATAGTCACATATAGGTAGCAGCTACTGTGTTGAATATCAGATATAGGATATTTCTATTACCACACAAAATTTTATTTAGCTACTGTGTTCTATAAGAGTAAGTACTTCATTTTAAACTCTTTCAAAATGTTTGCTGTGTCTGAGGACACATATACCAATTAGCAAATATATCAAATGCATGATTTTCTGCTTAAGTATTTTTGAGCAACAAGTAATAACATTTTTCTACCATTTTCTTGACCACATTACTTTCTAGGCTATGCTATCTTTAAAAATGTGCTCCCTTAGATTCAATATTTATCTTTTGAAATTGAGATTATATTACTTTGTAAAAGTGGGATTAGGATAAAATGATATGATTCAGGAACAGTGCTTAGCATTGGCATATATTAGGTGCCTAATAACATGGAGGTCCTAATTTATTGTAGCGTTCCCTCATTATATAAACACTTAGTAGTTGTTAATCAAAATATTTAAGTTATAACACTTTTACTAAGAAAACTCAGAAGTTAAATAAAAAATGAAGGATTCACAGTAATAGAATATGCTTCTAATCTACATTTTAATGCATTAATAATTCTCATAAAATTTAATAAAAGCTTTAAAGTTTTATTTTTATTTTTTAACAATGGTTAGTACATTGTGTGTTACTGCCACAGTAGTTTCTCATATTACAAGATATAGGCAAGAAATAATAAATAAACAACATAGGTACAAACCTCTTTTTTTAAGTCAACAGAAAATGGAAATATACTTTTTAAAGTTTCTAATACTAG